GCCTGGGCAAGGAGTATCCCATGCTGCTCCAGAGTAATTCATCATTGGTGACCTGCATCCAGCAGCCATGGGAGAGACACCCTCTCCATGAGCCTGTGTGGGTCGTTTTCCACCCCCCAGTGTTTCCCCCAGGAGCTGCAGGGCACACACAGCCTGGGCAGAACAGGGGAGAGGGTTAATCCTTCTGCCTCTACTAGAGTTTAATTGGAAGGGAAATTGTCTTTGACTTAATTTCCTCTCTTGTCGCAGCTCAAGTCTAGCGGATCAAAAGAAATGCAAATTGAAAGATAATATTTTGGATGTGCCTGATTTTAAAGTTGAACATGAATAATCTTTCATGCCTCTGACTTAATGTCTGTACCATTTTTGTTACAAAAATCTTGAAACAATGTGTATTTCCTTGTGTGACGAAAAGAATTTACTTTTCATCAAGAAAATAACCTGAATGATGCTGTCACAGTATTAAAACACAGCTACTAATTACCGCAATTTATCAAACCTGACATTATCCTTTACATTAAAATACTGTATGTTTTATTTTATAATGAGAGGGCAAAGACCCAGTTACTACAAAGTATCAAGCTTCTGCATGTGGGCTGCCATTATATAGCAGAGTTTTTTCACAAAGAAAGCAGTTGGCTGATTATTAGATTATTGGTTAATGCAATTTAATGTAAAACCTTCTTTTTCCTTCCTTTTCCTTTCTTTCCTTGTTATTTTGAATTATAGTACAAGTAAAGTATTTTTCAAGTGGTTAACTTGAGTTTGCTTTCCAACATCTCTTTATTTGTGAAGAAATGAATTCAAAGGTTCTGTTTTCTTTTTAGTGCTTTTGAAAATGAAGGATAGTTGTGCCTGCACTACAAGAAGGGTGATTTAGGTAAACGTCTCTGAGGCAGCTTGAGTCAATTTAGCTTAGACTTGCCCTGAAATTCTCTATTGCTTTGCTGCAAACCTTCCCAAGAGAAAAGATTTACTCTTGCTGAGCTGTATTGGAGTAGAATGTGGTTTTGTTAGTGTCCTACATTATGGTTGACAAAAAGGGTAGAGAAAAATGCTACATTGAACCACTTCAATGGGGAGGAGAAAAGATTTACTTACTTTTTCTCCACATGTTCAGTCTGGGGGTGATGGATATCAGTTGTGTCATCTCTAAAATTCACATCAGACTCACCCAAGAAATCTATAAGGACTTTTTATTGATGGTTTTCCAAGAATTCCTCATTTTCGAAGTGCACACGATATTTTTCAGTGACTAGTTGACTGCAGATAGTAGAGCCCTATGTGTTGGCTGACACATTGGTACAATAAATGTCCAGCCCTATGTTCAGCCCTATTTTGAGAAGGTCCAAATATATAGATGGAAAAAAAGAACCCCACCTCACTTCTCTGCCATTGAGACCACACTGTCCTGAGAATGTGCCCCAGGTCTGCACCATGGAACATACAGGAAGGCAAAGTCCTGAGACAAAACTAAGGGAGAAGGTGCAAGGGTAAATGCTATTTTTTCATTACCCTGGCACTTATTTATAGATTGGGAGAAATAACTCGTGCCTGCTCTTTGAACAGAGCCATTCCTTTGCTCATGCAGAGACATCTTGCAGGCCAGCTGTGCTGCCTCGGAGTTGCTTGTTATCAACTCTTACAAGTGTGGGGGAAAGCAACAAAATCATGACAATGATAAATATTTCTTCTTTACATGCTTACACGATGCCAGCCCAGTCTGTGGTCCAAAAGCCCCACTGTGGTCTGGCTCCGAGTAAACAGAGTTATTAGCAATCATGGGAGGCTGAGAGGTTGGAGGTTTGAGCTGACCAGTTGTTAGAGAAAAACAACAGATTCTTCCTCTTTTTTTTTTTTCAGGCTCCTTTTATTGCTGAATCTTTCACACTCCGGAGAAGAGTACTGCTGTTGTCTGGTGGCTAAAAGCAAAATCACATAAAGAGGGAAGAGAAAGGAGAGTAAAACAAAGCTGTCTCTCACTCCCAACTCGATAACAAATGCAGCAAGTGATCTCGTAAGCACACCAGGTAGTGCCTCTGGGCTGGCACGGTGCCCATCTGTGCCATCTGCTGAGTATCAAACCTTCCTCTGCTTCCCATCCTGCAGAACCTGCTGCAGCCAGGCTCTGCTTTTCTGCTGAAATCACTGCGGCACACAACCAGCCCAGGTTAGCAGTTTGATAGCTTTTACTACAAAAAAGGGGAAAGGGGGGTGCACTACATCTTTGTATTTTTGCAGTTCTAATCCCTGTTATGGTATTTGTGAGTGTAGTAGGACATTTCTTTAGCTATTTACAACAGGTCAGGACAAGAACCCTGCTTCCCATATGCCCTCTCACTGAAATGGCTACTTCTGTTTGCTAAGTACCATTTTAGATGGAGCCTAGTGAAACAGCCACATTGGAATTACTCATGTGATTATTGCATTGAAGGAGAACAATAAATAAAAATATGTTGTATATATTATGAGATGCTGGATTCAAAATGATGGGCTGTCATATAAAAGTGGGAACAAAATAGGAAACTGAGACCCCAAAAAAGGCAGTAATAAAAAGCTCAGTATTTCATTCCATGTCAGATGGTTTCTCTTCTGTCTGAACTGAAATGTTTCCTAAAACAATATTGTTTAAGGAAACAGCTGGTCCATCAGAATGTTTTCCCTCTGCTGTGTATCATCTGCCCAGCATTTTGCTCTGATCAGAAAGGTAAAGAGTATGAGCACAGAACGAGGATTGAAGGAAAAAAATTTCCATTCCCCTAAATAACAATGCAGCAACTCCAAGAAAAGCCATAGAAGTATAAGAGAAATTCACTGATAAATCAAGCATTAGCATTTTCAGCAGGAGAAAATACGTTCCAACTGTCATAATTTCTTTCAGGTTTTACAAGACCAGTTCTTCAGTACTTCAAATTAATAAGAATGTTAAGACTAGTGTCTGAGATTACAGGAAAACTGATTTTTTTTTTTTTTTGGTGCTGATTTTCACAGCACAAGAAATTTCCAAGAAATGTTGTAAAATTCATAAATAGCAAATCTAGAAGTCTTCCATGGGAAAAGAATCAAGTTGCTTTAGTCTTAAAAATTGCAAATATAACATCTGGTACAAAATATTTTGAAGTGTCATGTGACTGTCCCCTTGGATCAGATGCTGTTACAAAAGCCTGTTAGGGTTGGAGAATAAGGCTTTAGTTCAGCTTCTGGTGGTCTGTGTTAAAGAAGATTTTGATTTAGGAGCCCTTCTGTCTAAAAAAAACCTACAAAATAATTTGGGGCAGTGCCCTATTTCTCCACAGAAGAGTTTAATTTCCAGTCTCATAAGCCTGGGAACTCTCACCTGTGGCATCTTGCCTTTTGAGTTTTTTTTTCTCCTTGCAAAGTTTTGAATCTTGGAGATGCATCAAAATTAAAAAGCAGGGTGAACCAAAGAGGAATTGTGCAAGTTTTACATGATGGTACCTTTAGATTGCTTTTATTTCAACCTGCATGGGCTGTCTGTACTTTGGAGCATTTGCAAGAATAGCACATACATGGATATGTGATGTTGACTTTCAAGGATTAGGCAGACACCCTAATAAATAGTGTGATATTTAGAGAGGATGAGTACTGAGTGACACCTAGTGAGTTATTAACCTTTACTTTGTTCATTTTATTATCTGTCCTTCTTGCTAAATTTCCCATGATCTCAAATGCAGATCCCCTATTTTAACTGATTTTGTTCTGCAATAGCTCTACTTGACCAAAACCAAAGTTTTCAAGGCAAATTTGCCAAATTCACCTGTGCTGATCTGGAATTCAAATAGTCAGATGTTTTGAAGAGTGAAAATGCTGGACACTGAGTATCTCACTGAGAGTTTTTAGTTCTTTTCAAAACCTAGTATTCATATTACCACCTCTCCTCAAAAGCCCTGAGATCTTTTGAAGAATATAGTTCTAAATGTGTATGTTGAGCATTTAAAAATTAGATTTTGGGTTCTTTTTGGACATAAGTCTACAACTCATTTGAATAGAGTTAAGGTAAGCACTACATCTCCTAAACATAACTGCCTTGGTGCAGATAGATGGGAAAAAATGTCAGGGAAGCTTGAATTGAGACACTTAATTGCATTTGACTAAAGCACACATTTGCTTAAACCATGTTGTCCAAAAACCATGCAGATGTAATCTTAAAAATGTTGAATTGGTTTGAGCTTTTTTTTTTTTTGCTAAAATACAAGTCAATGCCTTCACATTTAAAAACCATCATTTCAGTTTCAAGAGATTTGTTTGAGGCTGTAACCAAAAACACAGAACAGCTGTACCACACAGGCACAGGAAAGAAACTCCTGTCTTTTCCCTTAAAATACATGGAAAAGCCATACTCTCTGGTCTTGCTACAGTTGATTTACTACAGATTTAACTTGCCAATGTAAAGTCGTAAGTCAGAGATTGTTTTAGTTTTATCGAAACTCTGTCCCTTATGTAACTTGTTATCAGCTGAAGTTGAGTTCACTATTTTTTCCAAAGCAGGACGACAGGGTGAGGAGCCCCCTGGGCTCTGCTGGCTTTGCTGTGGCAGCCACTGCTTGGGCAGTTTGCCTGGCTAAGGCAGCAGCCTCGGGAAAGGGTGCCTCCTGCAGCTGAAGGAAGAGCCTACACCAGCCCCAGGACTTGCCTGGGGGTTACAAAGCTTCTTTTGGAGGAGGTTTTTAAGGGGCTATGGGGCTTCAAACTCAAAGAATTATACCATGGTGAAATTGTGTATTGCGGTGACCATGGAGTGGCACAGCATTTGGTCTGGGCTAGCTAGAAATAGTTCATTTTTTCTTTTCCAAGGAAAATTTCATTTCAGCTGGACTTAAGGCATTCTGTTCCATGACCACCAAGTGTTTTGGGTTGTTCATTTGGAGGTTGTTACTTTAGGTTGTACCCATTTTGAGTGCCTCCTCCAAACATTTCTTTTTGAACCCATTGACACACAGTGCTCCAGAGTGTTTGATTTTTGCCTGTCTCTTTTCTAGGCAAAACTGCTCATCAGACAATCAGAATTTGCACTTCCCACCTGCCACAAGCTGGGCCTTGGGCTGGAGAAGTAGCTGCAGGCTGCTGCTCTCCAAAGGAGCTCAGAAATTGGGGTCTGTCTGCATCACAGTACCAGGAGTTCATTTAACTCTTTCTCTTAAGTACATGCAAAGTGGACATACCTGTAGCTTTTATGCAGCCCTCCTTTAGGTGAGCATCTAAGGTTCTTCTCCAGACACTCCCTTGAGACTCTGTGTTGGGTGGGAACATCCTGTAACAGTCCTAGTCTGTGCCAGAAGTATTCAGATAGTAAAATCTACTCAGGGTTTCTGGTAATTGTGCTGGACCAGGTAGATGGTAGATGGTGATGTGGAGAGTGTGCAGCCTGAGCAAGATTGCATGGGGGGACTTGGGCTGACCTGCTCTAACTCCAGAGCTGTGCATGGAATTAAATGCAGTAGAGAGAACTGCAGGGCTCCTTTTCCTCAATGTTAGAAGTCCCTCTTGACAGACAGGGAAGCTGGAATTGCTGTCTGGCCCCCTGTGCTGACACGACAGCATTTCTAACATTTAAACAACAGTTTAATTTTTCTGGGGAGGAAATGTCTCTAAAATTTCTTGGGAGAAAGCAAAGCAAACCTTGAGAAAACTGCAGATGGAAAGCTTGCATTTATGTAAAATGGAAACATGCTGTGAATCATTGGAGAAAACCTATATTTTCTTGCCAATTATAACAATATTAGGTAGCAGTGAAGGTTTCCAAGGCAACCTGGCCACGAGTGCATTCATGTGGAGTGTGTGTGACTACCTGCTTTGTCAAGCCAATGGATGGATGTCAGAAGGTGGTGTGGTGGGGGAGTACAGATCATTTCATCAATCTACACTAGGAACACTATTTAAAAGCAGAGGATTTTTTTTTTCAATGTATGTCTGATTGTGCCAAGCATTTCACTGCCTTTGTTTCTAGAATAGGCAAATGTGTGGGTGTCAGGTTGAAGACACCTGGCTGGTGAAGTGTCCACAGTTATAGGAGACTTTCTGGGCAAGACCATCTTGTCTTTGCCTGTCCCTCATTCCCCTCCACTGTGTCTGTTTGGTGTATTGAAGCTTTCTTGGCCTCTCCAGCTGTCCTGCAAAACACAGAAAGTGCAACATACGGTGTGGTCTCCCATATGTTTTCTTCAGGCCACCACTCTTGTTTCCTCTGAGGAGTCATTGAAGTTAGATGTTGTGTGAGGACCCCGCTCTCAGTCTCCAGGGAATTTACTGCCTTGTCTTTGACCTTTTAAAAACCTCTGAGAATCACAGATAAGATTTGTTTGGGAAAAAAATCATCAGGGCTGCACAATACCTGATACAGGTGTCAGGAAAAAAAAAAAAACACACACCCCTAGGCACCCAAGGGAATTGAGAAAGGAATGTGGGTCATGTTCATCAGTCCTGACTGCTTTCCACATTACCAGGGTAGCTGTGGCACAGCCATGATGTACAGCAGTCTGTCCTCATCTTAGCTGGTTGGGTAAGCTGAGCTTGCAGGTCTGTGCTGACATCGGGGTGGGGCAGATCACTGGGGGATGCACTCTGAGATTTGGCTGAGCATTACCACTGTTCTTCAATAGTAGCCCTCTTTCCAAATTTTTGCTTCAGAAAAAGGCAGAAGATTCCCAATTATCTTTCTCTAAACCAAAACTGTTGCAGTACTGAGTTCACTGTAACTTTGCAGCTTCCCCTGGGAATTAAACAGTCACAGGAGGTGTTCAATGCACCGTTATTCAGGTATTGAAAAATGCCTGTGTGATCCCTTTTGGTTCTGGCGTGAGGGCTCCAACCACATTAAAACTCTGGTAATGTGCACACATTCCTTACTCAGTGGTGCTTTCAGAGTAGCCACGGTGGCTGCTGTGTGCAATGAATGACAATCACAACCTTAGTACCCAGAAGTAAGCTTGAGTGAAAAATTAAGATGCTGGGAATTTGTGCTTAAATTACTTTACCTAACTGTTGCTTTTTACTGTGGATTACAAAATGTCCTCTGTGCACGCAGATGTGCTCACATCTAGCTCATGCTCAAACAGCTCTCACTTTTGTGCTTTCAGCTGTGGCTCAGATGTGCATCACGCCGTGTCCCTATCCCTGTGCCAATGTGTACACTGCCATCCAGAGGTGCAACAGCTGCATGTGCAGGTACACCCAAACTAGCGGTCAGCTCACTGTCACCATGCAAACAGCAACAAATCCACACTTGCCAGAAGGCTTGGCAGCTGGCATTCTGGGACTCCCAGCACACACACGCCTGATGGCCATGGTCCTCTTGCACCCGAAGTGGCTGAGCTGTGACTGGTGCTGTTAGGTGTGTGCACAGCACCCCAGTCAGACTGTGAACATCAGGGAGAAGGCAAATGTGGTCCTCATCTCAAAGCACTTGTTCAAGCACTTGTCCAATGCCAAACTCCCAAAGAAGGAGGAAATAAAGAGAGGAGGATGCAGGTCAGGAACCTACTCAGCTAACCAAGCCAGGAGAAGGTACTCCTCTACTTTTACAGAGATTTTCCACTGCATTGGCTGTCCTGAAATTTTGGGCATAAGCCCATTTTTTCCTTGCTTGCAAGCAAGGAAAGAAGAAACTTGGAAAGAGACAGCTGAGATTATGTCCTTTCAGTATCTAAAAGGGGCCTGCAAGAAAGCTGGAGAGGGGTTTTCTACAAGGGCTCATAGTGATAAGACCAGGTGAAATGGCTTAAACTGACAAAGTATAGGGTTAGATTGGATATTAGGAAGAAATTAGTTACTGTGAGGGTGGTGAGGTACTGGAGCTGGTGTGTCAGAGAAGCAGTGGATGCCCCATCCCTGGACATTGATGGAAGGCATCTAAATGTGGTAGTAGCTCTTAAGCATTGAATATATTATTGAATAGTTGGGCCCAATTGATTCAGGCACTCCTGACACTTAAGTCCTGTGTTTAAGGCTCTCAGCCACCTTAGAACTCTGCATTATTTGACATTTTGGGTTCCAAAGTAAGGTGTATCAAGATCCTGTCTCTGGAGACAAAATCAAACACAGGATTGAATTGCCTTTCCTTTTTACAATATGGGACACTTGACAGAGCTATAGAAATCCCATTTGAAAAATGATAGCTGTTGATTTTCTGCTTGCTGAGAATTATTAGTATTTTTCTATCCTGCAAAACCAGCCATTAAATCAGCAAAATGCTTTGGCATTAGAGCCATTTGGAATGTAAAAAATACTGCTTCTGTAATGTTCAGCTGCAAAGTTAAGAGAAAATCTAAAAGAATAATGATCTTAATTTGCAAGACATTTTACAAGTAAACATGCTACAGTTGTAGCTACAAATCAGATAATTACTGAACATTTTAAAACCCAGGTGTATAAAATTAAAAACAAGAAAATCAAATTTAAGTGAAAACAAATAACAGAGGAATTCTAAGTAGAAGGTTCAGATTCTTTTTTTTTTATGAACCATTTCTTTATCTCTACAACCTCAAATATCACATAGTGGTCTCTAATCATCTACTTTAGAATATTTAAATGAGCATGTACTTTAACATAAAGTGGTTTACAGTCAGTTTTTCTATTTTTATATAAGAAATGTATGCACGAATCATAAAAAGGTCAACCACTTCAATGAAACAACTTTTAAAAATAATGCAGTTTTACAGCCATACATAAAGGTATGTATTTTATTATGTCAAAGAATATGAAATAATATAGCTCAGCATTAAGCCCCAAGTCTTTCATGGAGGATACATTAGCTTTAAACTGGGATATATGATCATTGAAATACATTATTTCTGCTTTGGACTTTACATTTCGAAGTGAAAGGTTTTTCTTCTCCCTACTTCTCATCTTTGGCTAATCTTTTTCCCCTCTCATAATAGTTTATCTATCAAAGTACTAATATATCCTGTCACCATGTATTTTAGTAATGTCTAATTGGGAACTGAGGGCTGTGCTAGCCCCCTGTGTGCTGTCCAACACTGTGGCCCCGCTCTGCCATGCCAGGACAGCCCATCTGTTCTGACCCATGCTCCTGGAGGGTGCTGGCAGCTGGCTCAGGGAGCAAACCTCAAGTACAGCCAATGACGGAGGTGGCACAGAGGTTCTGGAAGTATTTCCAGGTGGGACAGGACTTTGACTGGGAGGAAGAGGCAAAGAGACAGTGCTTATGTTGATGAAAGTGGAACATCCATCAGAACTTCCTGAGAAGGCAGAAGGAAAGGGACACGAGACCAGAAAATATACTTTGTATTTGGTCCTCCTGTCTACCCATGACAAAGTATGGCTTGGTCTAAGCTGATCCTCAGAGAAGTTCCAAATCCTTGGGTAGGTTTTGCAGCTTCTGACAGGCCTATAGCAGCCCAGATATCTACGTACAGCCTCCCAGCATGTCCCACTTGACTGTGGGATCCCATGAATACAGATTCCCAAAGCATCTGCTGTTACACAGTTAACTAATATCTCTAGGCCATACCTGACCTAAATTTTATGCAAGTAATTAAAAGGGCAAGTTTATTTCTAAGAAGCAGCTGTTCACAGAGTTAGGAGATAGAAGTAAGGTAAAAAACATTCCCATTCCCTACACATCCTTCCTCTGAAGCACTCAATAAGTTTAATTAGAGTGGTTAGGAATGAACTATGAAAGCAGCAAAGTTAGTATCAGATAAATTAGGGAAATATTGGGACAGAAGATATATGTGTGACATTTTTAACAAAAATCTGATGTACATAATTGCCAGTGCTGCTTGTTATGAAGTGGAGGAATGTGTGCATCAGGACCTGGCAGCAATAGAAGGAAAGTCTATTATAATCCATCCATTTCACACACTGTAACTGCAGTCTCAATAAGTAATTGGAGGGAAGAGTGGTATAACACCCACACCACCCTGCTTCCTCCCTTGAAAATACTAGTGTTCTCTTGCTGATTAACCCCTGAAGTCAGTGGGTAAGTACAAGTTTAATATAATGCAATATGATATAATCCTCCTATGTGTAAGCTATTACACTTCACAAAAAGACTTTGTTTCTTGCTAGTATAGAAAGAAATCCTCTACAGTAGCCCTTCTTTGAGTACCAGTAGGGACAAACAAAAATCCCCAAAGATACCGACACCCCTAGATTCATCCTGCTATT